ATACTTTGGTTTGTTCTTCAGGCCTTGATTCATCTTGGCCTTAATGCTTCATTTATGTATATTTCTGAACTCTTTAAATAAATTGCGCTTCGTTTTGGAGAAACTTTCTCCCAGTTGTGAGTTGGGGACAGAGACAGAACTACAGTTTTGGAAATGTGAGTCCAGAACTCAGAGTGAACGTAACCTTTGCTCTTGTGGAAGAAAGAAACCACAGAAAATAAATCTTGATGTTTCAGAACTTGTTACTGCTGACAAACAGCAACTGAACATTTGGACCGAGCCTTCGACTGGACATCATTTAACTGGTTTGTTGAGGTGAAGACTGAACATAGTGAGCATTAAAGAAACACCGACCTTGTACTCCAGAGTCTGCTTCAGCATCTCCTCTTCTTCACGAGTGAAGTTCAGCAACACAGAAACAGCTCGGATGAGTTGATACGCCTGGCAGAGCAGAACACACACACAGTCAGTCTGTTGTGTAACACACACACACACAGTCAGTCTGTTGTGTAACACACACACACACACACACACACACACACACACACAGATGACTCACCTCAGCCTCTCTGGAGGACATGAACTTGAGGACGACGTGCTTCAGATACTCAAAGTTGATTTCTCTGGAGTCGTTGAGGTCTGAGGTGTTGGTCACTGTGGTGTTGGAGGTTGGGGGGCTCGGAGCGGACGCTGGGGGCGGGTCCGGATTAACACTCTCTTGTTTTTCTGACCTGCTTTCAGGTGACTTCTCCTTCCCTTCAGCTTCAGTGTCGGGCTTCAGTTTCTTGAAGAGAAGGGACAGACACAAGGCCACAGTGAAGGCCACGTTCAAACAAACATGAAGTCAGGCTCATGGTTCGAGGCTAAATTAAAATCAAGTTCTCACCAGCTCTTTCTGCAGAGTTCTCTTCAGCTCTGCCAGTCTCTGCTGCAGCTGCTTGATGGTCTGCAGAAACAGCACGTGGCTTTATGTTTGGGCATTTATTTGCACAGTTCTAGAAGAAGAGAAGGAAAACGATGTCTGACCCTGTTCTTGTCACCGAGCTGCTGCTCCAGCTCTCTGTTGACCCTCTGGAGGTGATCCAGGTCGTCCACGGTCACACTGCCGTTCTGATTCTCCTCACAAACCTCAGGGCTGTGAAGCTGTTCTGTTAGGGTTTCCACCTCCACCTCCAGGAAGGAAATCTGGACAACAAACATGAGAGAGGCTTCACATGTAAACAGTCCTGAACTTGGTCTTTATTAAACCGGAGCCAGGCTGAATGTCTCTGAACAGATTTAGTTTTCGGCAGCTCTGGTTCGGGTGTGTTGAAATGTTTAGCAGCGTGCTGACCCGCGCCTGGCAGCCGTCGAGCTGCTGCGTCTGAGCCAGCAGCTCCTCCCTCACGCTCCTCAGCTGCGACTCTTTGTGGAGCTCCGTCTGCTGCAGCTGACCCCTCAGCTGCTCAGCCTCCTCCTGCAGCCGGCGCACACAGTCCTGCCTACTCTGCACCTCTGCAACAACACAGCAAAAACACACACTTTTTATACACCATTACTTTTCATTTTTATTTAACTTTGATCAAAATATATATATAATTTACCAACTATGGCTAATAAGTTACAATTATGCAAGGATTAAATGTGACAAACTTAGAAAACAAAATCAGAATACTCCTTAAAACTAAAGGCCTACCATTCCTTGAAGTCACCCACCACCTTTATGCCACAGTTCAGTTTATTTATGTAGAACCAAGTCACAACAGAAGTCGTCTTAGGACACTGAACAGTTCAGACTAAGATGAGAGCAAATGATGGAAGTGTAGCTGTTTTGATATTACCTTAAATATGTTATAAACCATCTCTTGCAACAAAGTCCATGCTCAGTAATCCAGGTGTGCAATCCAACAATTTTCAGTCAGGTCATCTGGTTTTGAACCAGTTTGACATGACTGTCGACGAGGGAGAAGGCCAGTTCTGGAGGAGGAGGAGTGCCAAAGAGACCATCTTAGTATCAACATAACTGGTTTGTTCCACTTTGGAGTAAGTTGTTGAAGTCTTCTGGATGGAAGGTGAAACGTTTCAGCACAAAAAAAAAAAAAAACTGTCCAGATGACCTGACTGAAAAAGGCTGAATATCTCTTGCAATAATGTGAGATCTCAGACGTTAGAGCTCAGAGCAGGGTGGCCGGTCCATAAGGGCCCCATCTGAAAAATATTTCCCCCAAACAAAGTAGTTCCTCCTAATAAACATAAATTACTTGTTTAGCTTGCTGTGTACTGTTTTTTGTTCTGTGTATTTTTAAATTAAATTCAGAAATACTTTATTAATCCCAGAGATAAATTAAATGTTGTTGTAACTCATCATCCTGGTTTCATTAAAGAGTTGTTCTAGATGCTGATGGCTGTGGGCAGGAAGGATCTCTTGTAGCGGTCTGTCTTACAGCAGATCTGAAGAAATGCTGCACATTCCAACCGGTCCACCCAGACCTGGTGGGTCTCTTGGTCCCCACGGGCAGCAGGACCGCTCGAATTCCGGGCAGAACTTCTGAGCAATTGTCACTCCTCCCAGCAGCCTGCTGAGCCCCTCAGACAGCCAGCTGCAGGTGCCAAGAGATGATCTCGGTCCTCCCACTGTCACGAGTTGTACCTCCCACTAGGTCCAGGATCTCGGCGGTCACGCACTCGAGCACCGCCACCTAGGGTTGCATTTGGGCCTAATAAATCCGGCCCGGACCAACTCCGCAGCGGAGGTACATGTCACTGACTGCGTTCGTCAAGCGGATTGGAACATGTAAATGGACTGTACTTGTATAGCGCCTTTCTAACTGATCAAGATACTCAAAGCTCTTTACAACAATCTGTGCCTCATTTACCCATTCATACAGCTCTATACTAGATCTCTACAAAACTAATTGAACAAATCATTCTAAAGAGACTAATCAGAGCTTTACCACATTCAAACACTGATGGGACACACATCAGAGACTATGAGGGGTTCAGTGTCTGGCCCAGGGACACTTCAGCATGTGACTGCTGGTGGATTTGAACCCCCAACTCTTGCAATGGAGGACGACTGCTCTAACCACTCAGCCACAGTCGCCCCATGTGATGAGAACGGACAGCTCCAGTACAGTCTCAGTGGGGGAACAACCAATCCGCCCCGTGGACACGTTCAGCTGGTTTTAGTGCATCAATAACCACTGCTAACACTAAAGCCCCCAGTATACTCCCGTGTACGTCCGTACGCAGAGGTATGCGCGTACCGCAGGGCATGTTCGCGCAAAGCTAAATTTTTACGACCGCATACGCGGTGTTGCACAATAAACTGCCCGGTGACGGACTGTTTTGTATGCGACATAAATGTATTGAATTCCCCTTCTTCATCTCTGATCTGACCTTTTCTTTTGTTTTGTTTCCAAGAGGCAGTGATCTCCTCCTCCTCCTCTGTTGATGCCATGACTGAAATGGTGAGAAATGAAGGAATTTGTCACGAGAGAATTAAAATCAGATCCAGTGTGGCTGTGGGAGGGTCTGGAGATTTCCTGGTGGACTGGTCTGATGTGTGGGCTGCAGGGCAAGTGCTCCCTACTTTTAAAATTTTTTTAGATCTTTTTATTAACAACATATAAACACAAAACACCGCTGCGGCTGCCAGCTCTTTTTTTTTTTTTTTTTTTTTTTCGACCCGTCAATCAATCTAGTAGGCGTGTCAGCGAATGACCAATCGGCGACCTCAATTTGTCCTGAAATTAAACGCCCCTCGTCTGCGAAGCTGCTCTGCAGCTGCTCAGGGTGGACGCTCGAGCATGAAGTCTCAACCCTCCGCGTACGTACACGCGTACCTTCACGCGGACGGACGTACACAAGAGCATACTAGGGGCTTAAACTTGAGCTGAGCTCATCAAATGCAGGAAGGAAATGCAGCCAGAGGGACAAACAGGGGAGATAAAGACCGGGACATTTTCACCAACATGGTGGATCTTCTTAAACAAGCTATGTGGCTTTTATAAGGGTGTGGCTGCGACAGCTCAGTGGTCAGAGCTTCAGTGTCGAAATCCCGAGGTCGTGGGTTTGAGTCTCATTAGAGTTAAGGTGTTGAGCCATTCTCCAACATTTTTTAGATTTACTTCACAGAAGCTTTTTGCTCATTTACCTTTGTTAAATGAGCAAAATTAGTAATTCTGCAGAATTATTACTTCAAACCAAAAATGAGAAGCACAATCCAGAAAGCTGTGCACCCGTCTTTTTTATTTTATAGTTAAAATAAAAACTCCACGGTTTCAGGTGGAGGTGGGTGCAGGAGGCATCGCTTCTCTGATTATTAGAAAAGACCGTCTTCATGAGACACAACCTCGATCCACGGGAGGGAGACATGAGGCGACATTTTTGTGAAAAAATAAAAATACCGTAAATAAATATTAAACAACACATATCCTGTCTGTTTTTACTGAAAATGTAACGCAAATTGTAAATTATTTGTTGTTAGTGATCCAGGAAATGAATGTCTGTCCCACTAACATTTATGCTCAGGCTGCACTACTGCTGCTTCCACACCAATCTGTAAAACTCACAGCAATAGACATTATTGTGATGGCCAGTGTCAATCAATTAAGGCAGCGATTATGAACTGGGTTAGCTCCAAAAGGTAATAAGTTGTACATTACATTATTATTTCCTGAGAGTTTAAGAGTTTCACCATCGGCAGCGTGCAGTAACTAACAGAGAGAGTGTGTGTACCATTGCGCAGTGTGTTGACGTCCTCCTCCCTCTGTATTAGCTTGTCGCTGACAGCGGACAGTTCCTGCTGCGAGTTCTTCAGAGCTTCGCTCAGATCTCCAACCTGACATCAAGCACAAGCAACTTATTTCAGAACACAAGATCCACTTTCAAACAGATTTGCACCCAGCTCTGAAATTATTATTGCACTTAGAAGCTGCAAGTATGAGTTCAAAAGGACCAGTAAGTTTATGTACAGTCGTGAGAACCAACCTGCTACGTTTCAGTTTTAAGGTTTATCAAAACAGGATAATAAAACAAAAACAATGTCTGGATCTTTCCGTCTTAGAATCATAAAATACAGCAGCCGAGATGGTGTAGAGGTGGTACAGCAGCTGAGCTCGGACCAGAAAGTCGCAGTTCGACTCCCAGCCATTCCCACATGTCGTGGTGTCTCTGAGCAAGACACCTAATCCCCAACTGCTCCCCGGGTGTTTAAATATATGCCCACAGCTCCACCTGGGTGCATTTCAGGTGTGACAGGTTAAATGCAGAGAACTATTGTCATCATTGCATGGGAATATACAATGATGACAATCTCAGACTTCCCATCCCCCCTACAGCCTTAGACGAACAACTGATAATGTCATTATCTGAACCTAAACCCAAAATACTAAAACAAGGTGTGCATGCAGCACATTATACGATCGTCGACAAACAATTATACAGCAATCTATTGCAACGAACTCCTCCGAACTCCTTCCACACCCGAATTTTTGCCTGAGCTCCGCCCCTCTGTAGTGAACTAAGCCTCAGGTCAAATCTGGCCTTGAGGGCCTTCCTGGGACAGGAGCTGTATTTCATTGATTTGAGTCCAGAAACACAAAATTAAGTTCATCCAGAGACTTTCTAAGTGTGTCCTGCACTGATCAATTGAAAGAACACTCTCTTTTCTATTATCATTACTATTTTACAAATGTTTTGATAATCAAAGTGTGTTTAGTTCAAACCATTTTTAAATGTTGAAGTGAACTACTCAATTTAAATCAACTGTGAAACAGTATTAGTGATTTTTAATCCTCATTCAAAGTAGAAATCAAGTGAAAATGTGTTACAGAGTAATGATGCATCTTCTTGATCTTCTGTCTGAAATGAGCAAGTTGTGATGTTGGTCAAAGGTCAAGTTTCGGTCAACTGTAAGTTTACTGGAAAGAAATGTCATGTTTAACTTTTACAGAAAGATATTAGAGAATTGACTCCACGAAGTCTGGGTCCTTCAAAAACATTTTCTGTCTGTTCTTAAACAAACTTAATCTTTTTCCTTGACTTTTAATAACCTCTTACATCACTAAAACACACCCCTGTTCGATTGATCGACCAATCAGGAAGTTCTCAAAATGAACCGGAAACAGAACTCCTTAAAGGGTTCAACACTTCCTAGTTCAAGCAGAACGCTGGGAGAAGAACGCTGAGAGAATGCTGTGAGTTAGTTCCGAGAGCAG